TTCTGAGATTCTCGGGCAGACATCTTAGAAACATGGTCAATAAGACCTGGTCATCGTAGTGTATACCGAGAACGACGATGAGGTTCTCTACAGTAGACGTTAGCTCTCTGACTGACTTGTACTTTCGTTGGTCCAGTCTCAACATCGCGTCAATGGCAATTTGTGCTTGCTGCGGATTGTGCCAGCGAGCTTCTACCATATCCAAGAACTCTTCTAATGTATGGGTTTTACCCCAATCTGCCATGCGTCGTCCGTACCCGACCGTCGCTACTATACCATCCAGCCATTTGCCTGCCTTACCCTCAAGGTAAGATGCAGCAGTAATCACCTCCTCCTCCTGCAAAGTCCTCTTTGCCCTTACCCACATACGAACTGTTCTCAACCATGTGTTGAGTTCTCGTCCTTCTTCTCACTAGAGAAGGCAAGGGGCGGTTTCATTGGGGTCTTTGGGTACCATTGACCTTGTTGTTGTCCCTGTGGTGGAACAGTTTGTTGCGGCTGTGGTGTAGCACCAGCCGCTGGACCAGAAGAAGAAGAAGCAACAGTCTGTGCGGCCGTTGCAGACGTACCACTTGGCTGTGTGCCAGCTTGTACCGGAAAAGGGCCTGACATCGTCGTTAATGGCAACGACGACTGTGCTGCTGGGTGCAATCTTGGCCTTTGCAAAAGGTCCAAGATTTGGTCCTGCATGAAGTCCAGCCTGCTGTCCACGTGCGCATGCAGCGACAGTATGCTGGCCTTCAACACTTTCATTTGGTCAGCTTTGTCCGCCTCTAACGTATCAAGCCTGACTGTTCTATTTTTGATCTCTTTCTCCCTATCGGTAGCCTGTTTCAGTTCCCTCTCTAACCGAGTGCGGATCCTCTCGACTTGCTGGAGCTCTAAGAGCTCCCTGCCGCGTGGGGTCAACGGACTGAACTGCGAGCCCGCCATTTGACTTGTAGACTGACTAGAACCTAATGATCCGGAAGTACCCGTGGACCCAGGGGGCATCCCCAACTGGGTCCTAGACGAGGATGCAGCAGAGGATGCTGCTGCGGTAGCCATTGCTGCTGCTGCCTGTTCCCTAGCTGCGGCGTTTGCTATTGCCAACGCCTGACTTGCAGCTAGTGCTGTTTCTCTCGCTGTTGCGTAAGCACGGGCTCTATTCTCGGCACGAAGTCGTCTCTCGTCCCCCGGCCTTAGCGCCTGAAACACGTGCGAGACCCTTAATGATCTCGAACGTGTCAGCCTTGCATCGTCAACTCTACCCTCATCGGTGTCTGACCCACTCGTCAGTTAGGCAAACAATATCTGTACTACAACTCCCTGTTGGAGTCCTACCACAACATGTGTCTGACCGGCACCTAATTTTCTAAAAATAAATGTGTCCGACAGGTCCCCTACTCAACCGATCAAGTGGCAGCCTACAACAATCACGAAAGACCGTAAACATATTTTAGTAATATCATGATTAGTTCTCTTACAAAAGTTTTGTATAGAACTGGCTATGGTATTATACAACGGTCCTAAACTAAACTGTCTGTGAGGTGTTAGCAGTCTGTCAACCAACTAATCAACAATAAAACTAAACTATGTTGCAGAGGTATGAATAGTGGATATGGTTGTGTTTACAGTTGAGCACCAATTAGAACCTACCCTCCCCTCAATCCAACATACCGATGAGCATCATTGAGCAGCAGTGTTATAGGTGTGCAATGTCGGCCCACCCCTGTGCCCTAGGTGCATGCTTATGACCAGGCTTGCCCTTTCTTTATCCTCGCGTGCAACAAGCCGTACGCCCGACTGATCTGGCTGATCAAGAGGGCTATTTAAGGACTGCCCCCAAGGTCGCTCAGGAATTATTTAACGTCGCAATCAGGACGACGATCACAGCCAGTTATCAAATTGGAACCGCGTCCATAAATGTTTATAGACCGTCTGGGAGCGTCTGCAAAAGCCTGTTCAGTCCGCACACCCCTCTATCAATGCAGCAAAAGTGCCCTCATGGACAAAGCAGCCATCACATGCGTGTACTAATCCCATTGGGTTGGCATGGTCACCGTGACCCACAAGCTTCGACCAGGGCCCTTCAAAGGCACCGCCCTTTCTCCTTCCAGATGCGCCACCGGGAAAATTGTTGTCTCTCGAGGTAGAGCGCTCACGACACCTCACCAAAAGGGAGGACTCTCAAGTTGGACTCACTTCCTCGCGGTGAGAAGAGATTTAGAGGGTAGATAAGGTAAGGGAACAACGTACCTGGAGATAGCTTCCCCCAACCACAGATTTCTCACCAATTGAGCTGAGTGTGCATTTGATGACCGTCCATAGCCTCGGTACCACCCACAATCGCAATGCAGTGCCACCTCAGCCAAATGCCACATCAACATGCTCTCATCACCATACATACATGTCGTCGTCACCACGACATCCCAAGCCGTATAGCCTTCCGGCGCACACCTCTCTACCCAGGTCGTGCGCCTAATATTGGCCTGACGTTACAAGAACCAACTGCGAAGAAGCATCGTCCACACACCAAGTCTGTATAACGCCAGCGCACCAAGGTAAGTGGCGAATCGAACCAGCTCCGATACCAAATTGCAAGGAACATGAATGTGGACGAAGCACAGAAATCCAAATTGCAATTTCACACTGAAGCCCAAGTAGTCAAAGCAAGAGCAGATAGCACAATGGAACCGAGTAACCATCCATTTGAGAACGATACAGAAGAATTGTGAGTCAATGTCCAAGCCCAATCGGGCAACACCAACAGCATAACCCAATGTAGCTCTCTCTCTTGAATGGCGCCAGGCGACCTATCTCCTCTACAGCCTAATACTACAACTACAGCATGGAAGCAACCAGACAACTTGACGACCAGCGAGTGATAATGTCAACGCCAATGCCGACCTCCTCTCCACCAGGTACATCTCTCTCTTCACCCTCACTCTCCCTTGTTATCCCACACAGCGCCCTTCACCTTCCGAAGAACCACCTTCGCCCTCACCTCCCTCAGCGCTCTCATGCAGCCCGGCTATGGCCGCTAGCGCCCTGCGCCCAGGCTGCGCCCTACCGCTTAGCGCCAGCCTGCCTGCTCTCAGCCTAGCGCAGCGCAGCACCTCGCAAATGCGCAGTGTGCCGGCCTTGCTCGCAATGGCCAAGATCCCCTGCCCAGCCGCATGCTCTGCCTATATGCCCAGCAGCGCGAGGGCGGCCTGGTTTCAGCCTGTGCCTGGGTCCTGGTAGCTGTGCCCAGACCCAATGCAGATAAGGGCCCAGGCCGTACAGTTGTGCCTCTTTCATCAAGGCCTTTGTCCAGATTCAGATAGCGGGCCGGTTTCCCGCTGGCATTTTCGGCCTCTATGTCCAGCATGCAATGTCGGCCTCACGTTTATGTGCCCAGGGCCTAACTAATTCTGAGGCCCTGGTCCTTCTGCATTTGCAGGGATCTGGTACTCGGTGCACTCCAACCAACTGGCGTGCGGCAATTGTCTGGACCCCACTTCGTGAAATGTTGCAAAAAGGCCTCTCGTTGATTTGCTGGCCCGCCTTCACTTAGGGCGGGCACTATGCTTGCTGGGGGCCTTAGCCCAGAACATGTACATCACGGCAAGGCCCCTTTGAGGGCTCAATCCTCACACACAGAAAAAAAAAAAAAACGGGTGGGGGACTGTTACATCTTCGACGCCACACGGGCCCTAGCGGACCCGACTTAGGGCCGAGGGGACACAGTAGGGCCTTAAGGCCCAGACTTGGGGGTACAGCAGGCCGAAAGGCCACATTTTGGACCAGACCGTCAGGCAGGTCCAAACGATATTCTCGTTTTGGGCCTGGCGGCGCTTTTGAGGCTGCCGCCCGCTGATCCGATCTGAATCGTCAATCTGGACGGTTCAGATCACGGCCAGGCCTCGCAGCATTGAGGTCGGCCTCTGCCCCACCGGTACTTAGTACCGGCCGGCCTCACTTCGAGGCATCGAGCGGCTGGACGCTGAGAGAGCGCCAGTTCATTTCGGTTCGACAGCAGGAGCGATAGCGCTGCGCCATTCTTAGCGCAGCTCTGAGGTGCCACAGCAGCGCAGCTAGCGCAGCAGTAGCAGCGAGCGAGGAGCCAGGCAGCGGGCAGCCATAGCCGATTTCGGCTCCAGTCAGTTGCAGCAAACCAGGTACTCGGGGGTGAGGTCTTCTCCTCCCCCCACAGTCCCTGGTTCCCCTCCTCCTCACCTCTCTCCTCCTCTGTTCTCTTCTTCTTTTTCTTCTTCTTCTTCAGACTTCACCTTCTTCTTCTTCAGACTTCTTCTTCTTCAGATTGGAGACTTGATACTAGTTGGACAGAGATCAGTGTTGGACTTCCGTGGTAGGAGGCTGTGATACTTACCGGATTCGAGACTTGGAGATTGTTGGGGTTGGTACTCGGGGGCATCACAGATTGAACACCGGTTACATTAGGACTCTGTACCTCGGACATTGGTGACTTCTTGTCCACGACATTTTGATCTTGTTCGATGACATTTTGGACTACCATATCGGTGACCTACTGGATTCTATCTCGGTGACATCTGGCGCTGCCTACATCTCC